GAGGGACTTCTTTACTATGTGAATAAACAATTTGAACAAGAAAGGATTTAAAGACACATTGAAGCAAAGGCAAAAAAAATTGTAATGAAATTTATGTGACGGTTCTTCTGAAATCCGACAGAGTGAAAATCCAAGAACTGCTGCAATCCTCTGCATTAATGATCTTTTTGTTTCTCTCCTTCTGCGTGTGTGCGTGTGCGTGCTCACAGAGAGGAGGTCACGGCAGGAGTTCCCTGAGTTGACACGTATGAACCATAAAGTCAGGTTGGACTGAGGAGCAGTTGATAAACGATTTTCAGTCTTGACAAAATTACTTTTTTATCCAAAGCATGCACAAGAAATCAAATCTCTGTATCACAATGATTTCAATAAAGCCTTATTATTTTATGGGGGCAATATCACAAATTACCGTAGATCATTAATAGGGAACAAAAAAGGAGGATCACATCAGCAATGGGAGACAGAAGTCTTGACACGTGCTTAAAAAAAACCCAGTTACAGCTGGTAAGATGTATGGTATAAACCAGACTTTCACAGTCTGCATCTTTACAGGGTTTTTTTCTGCTTTTGTTCACTCCTAGTGTGATTAACAAACAACAACCACAAACACAGAGCCCACTAACTATTAGCTGCTTTTCTCCCTAAACAGTCAGTTGACTGAGAGAAATGCAATCCACTATTGTGAACGCTGAAGGAGATGTGCTCCATAGTCAGACTTATATTTCCTTAACTTACATTCTATGTTCTGTTTAATTCCAGCATCCCTTTGATGGAAAATTGGTTAAACCATTGCTCAACTTATGTCTGAATGACGGCAGATAATTCTGATGAAAAGGAAACTGACCCCGTAAGCACTTTGCAGCGGAGTCAAGGGCTCGTGGAAATAAGGTCAAGGAGGTGTCCGGCGTGAGTGCGCGTGCGGCCTGACATTCAACTTGGGACATCTGACAGACACATTAGTGCAACTCAGAGTGTGAGCAGCAACTCCTGTATACTAAACATAAGAAAAGTAATGTGCAGTGCTTCTTTTACAACCGAGATTCCAGGGCACATGCTTATATGGTTTTCTTTTACTAAAAAACAAGTAGGTCCCTGAAGCTTATTTGTGCCACAGATGCTAATTCAGTGACTGCGGGGGTGTGTAAGGAATGTTTTGGGACCTGTCTGATCTTAAAAAACTAACCTTGTTGTTACATTACAGCAATATTGAGGAAAGATTTAACGGCTGATCATGGAGCAGGATGAAGGTCAAAGGGAAAGTCCCTGCCACGCTTCTGGTTACGCTCCCATCCGGCGTAGTCATCCGTGCTATATCACCCCT